GGTAATATCTTTTGGTAGCATTCTGATTGAGCTTTTGTGGTTCTTCTTTACCAAAGCAGGCTCCAATAGATTTTGATGACGAAAGTAGCTGGGAGTATCTATTCAAGGATTACTATATAGATCTCAAATCGAAGCTATCCCTCTCTTCAGTTGAAGTTGCAGGGGCTAAGCATCCATGGAAGGGCAGTAAACAAGAATCGCCTGAGGAACAGATTGATGCTGATTATGATGGACGATCTGGTTCAGATAACTCTATTGAGAGCCAGAAAACCGGTAAATCTAAGAGAAGAAAACTTAAGAAACGATCAAAATCCCTCACCGAAGAAGTGGAATCCATTGGTGTAGGTGTGTCAGCTGGCAATGAGAACATTTCTTCATCAGAGGACACTGAATGGGCTACAAAAGAGCTTCTTGAATTTGTTTCACATATGAGAAATGGTGATGTATCTGTGCTATCTCAGTTTGATGTACAAGCTCTTTTGCTTGAATATATCAAAAGACACAAACTTCGTGATCCTCGCCGGAAAAGTCAAATTATCTGTGATTCAAGGCTTGGAAATCTATTTGGAAAACCACGAGTTGGGCATTTTGAAATGTTAAAACTTCTTGAATCTCATTTTCCTTTGAAAAAGGATAAGCCAGATGAAGTTCAAGGGACTGTTGTTGGCACTGAAAGTAACCTGGTGGAGGTCGATGACAATGCTGACACCCAAGCTAGGGGGTTCAAAGGTAGGAAAAGCAAAACACCCAAGAAAGGTGACAGAAAGGGACCTCAGTCAAATCTCGAGGATTATGCGGCCATTGAAACGCACAACATTAGCTTAATTTACCTGCGTCGTAAGTTGATGGAGGACCTACTCGAAGATGTTGAGAAGTTTCATGATAAAGTTGTTGGAGCTTTCGTGAGAATAAGAATTTCTGGTAGTAGTCAAAAGCAAGACTTGTACAGACTAGTGCAAATTGTAGGTAATTACTTTGTAACATCTTATTACCTCGACTCTTCTAGTCTATAACTAGTTATAAGTGTCTGTGCATTAAGTTCCTCTGGAATTTGAAATGTCAGAAATATAGTGAGTTTCAGCTTCAAACCCCCTCCCCTCCCCTCCCCTCAAAGAACACCAAACAATTGTTTTTCCTAATTATTTTCTATGGCAGGCACAAGCAAAGCTGTGGAGCCATATAAAATTGGCAAAAAAAATTGTGATTCAATGCTGGAGATATTAAATCTAGACAAGGCGGAGGTCATTTCAAT